TTGGATGGAGTTAGCATGCTCTCCTGGAACATATGCTTTTAATGTGTGCATGCCTGTGATGGACTGTGATCGGTACAGGGTGAGCCACTGGACAAAATGGATCGATGGATTTATGTAAATTTATTTAGCAGGAGAAATAACAAATGATTGCAAGCCCCGCTGTCACAAATATTAAACCCCTGTTAGTAGCTACTTTCTAAATCATTTGAATAGTTCCCACGTGCACAGAAAGGAAAATTTTTAGGGATCATTCTGCACATTTTTTGCTGATCTCTTAACAGCTCTGTTCACAGCAGATAGGTCCGCAGTACGACTCCTGATGCCTGTACCACAGAGCAAGGTCAACATAACAGGATTACTTCCAGTTTAACCAATCCACAATGATGGTAATCAGGATCAGCTGTACCACAAAGCTGGTTATCAGTTCACCAAATCAATCCAGGGTTAACTGATCATGAATCTGTGGACACGCACGTATAAAGGGGCGGGTTTTAAGTAGCAGACCAATCATAATGAAGGGAGAGCGCCTTATTGTGATGGACAAAATTTTTGACCATTAATGGAAAAAAAAGTCTAAATGAAAAGTCAAACACGGCCAAAAAGAAACAAAACAAAATGTAATTTAACACAGCCATAAATTCCAATCATTATACTGCATATTAATCATATCTCATTCCTCAGATGTAAGCCTCTCAGGAGTGAAGAGGACTTGAGAGCAGATAAAAATAAAAGAAAACACTAAAACAACATTTCATCTGCTTAGTTGGAATTTTTAATTCAGTAATGTTTGAGCTGCAATAAAGCTGGAAGCTGATGACATGATTGCATCATATTAACACAAAAGGTGATCGGACTGAGGGAAATCATCCTGATTTTTCATCTTTTTTTTTTTTTTTTTTACTTTTTTTTTCGTTTTACCTGGTGGTTTACCATTAATCCCCCATCAGTTTCAGCTTATTTTTGTAGCTTCAGTGTAACATTCACCCTTCTCATTTAAACTGTTACAAAAAACAAGGGAAAAAAGTATATATATATATATATATATATATATATATATATATATTTTTTTTTTTTTTTTTTTTTTTTGAAGATGAGGATTTTGACGCCTTTTCACAAGTTTAATTAGAACAAAGCATAGTACTTCTAGTAGAAATCTGGCATCTAGATAGCATCTAAAACTTTGCAGCCCCAAGATTCTACACTTTCCTGCAGGTCTATGTCCTTGAGCTTTGGAGTCTTTTGCCCCCCATTCTCCTCACAGTGTGGCTGGAGGATACATACGGCTTCTCCTCCAGCCTTGATTTACAGCTTTAGTTGTGTTAACGTTTCAATTTTTCCTCTTTACATCTTTGCAAATTTCAGCCATGAGCTTTTATAAACATTTCCTGATTTATGAAGACTGACACCTATCAGTTTTCATTGTTTTGGATTTTTTCTTGTCTATCCCCATTTTAAAAAATGGCCCACAGAAACGAGGCTCTGTGTTGCTCTATATTCATCAATCGGGTTGAATAAAAAAAAACATACTATTACAGAAATAAAAGATGCATTTTCTTAATAACTTTTTAGACATCTTCGCCGGGTGGCCAGTGAGTGTGTCTCATATCATTCAGCATTAAGTAAGGTCCAGTATTCAACGATGAAACCACTGGGAAATGAGAAGAAATCCCCCATAATGTGATATCAGATGGTAAAACTAAAACAGGCTAATTCCATTAGTTACCAAGAGACCCGTTGAGGTCATTTTAACAACACAACCCTTTAAAAAGTAACAGAAAGGTGACCTATATACTTCACTTAATTTGATACAGAACTCTTGCACATCACAGTAGAGTGTCACACATTGTTATGATTGGTTTTAAAAACACTTAGTTATTTGTTTTTTTGAAAAATGGGGGGAAAAGTGCAGCTAAAAGCCAAACAGATTTACTGCGGATAAGCTATGCAATCAAGCATAGCCATTTTTTGTCAGATGTCCATCCAGCACAATGAAGCGGGGATCTGATGAACAGCTGGAGCTGAGGAAGAAACACTGATTTACTTAACTTTGTAGTAATCAGATATGAAAGTAAAAGCTCCCATGTGGATATTATACCTACAGAAATATCAGGAGGTCCTGGAAACGCTAGCAGAACTTTACATAAATGTCAGCCCACATGGCACATCACACCGTGGGTGGGAGCCAATAAGAGAACAGAATAAGATTACAGATGGAAATCATGATTCGAATGAGTCTAATAAGGTATCATGTGAAAGTCTGTAACATGTAGAGTTCTCTCATTTTATCAAAATACCCCTTGAGCTATTGCCATAGTTATGCTGCTTTAGGCTTAGGCTGCTGGAGGACATAGGGACCATTTTTCATCATTCTGCTTCATTTTATCTCTTTTTTTCCTTCTCTGCAGAATTTGTTAGTTAAATCTCAAATATTATGCACTCTCTGCTTTAGGGGAGTGGCAGCCTAGTAGTTATGGCATAGAGCTGAGGTTCTAAGTTCGAGCCCCAACCCACAGACTGCCACTCTGGTTCTCTGAGCAAGACCCTTGACCCCACACTACTCCCCGCCACCCCATGATGGCAGCCCACTACTCCCCAAGGGGATGGGTTAAATGCAGAAGTAAATTTCTCCAATGTGAGATCAAAAAAGTTCAATTATGTAATTGTTATTTTACCCATAGCAGCATCACCTGGTCTATTCCTGTTTGGCTGTGACTCCATCCTGGAGAGAAATATCAGCTGTGCTGCTGCCATCAACACCTTTGTTTATAGATGTTATGATAGCCTGTTTTTCAGTGTAGTCCTGTTTATCCGACTGTGACTAACTGTAAGTGCTCTCTTTGATCCTGTGACATGTTAGCTGGCTCAGATCTCATCTGCCTGGCTTTGTGTTTCCTGGACGGGGCCGCCTGTGGAGGTGGTTATCCGTTGCCTTTAGTATCTCTGCTTCTTTTTCTGTCTGCTTCTGTCTCCTTAAACCCCAGTCGGCCTCAACAGATGGCCGTTCACACTGAGCCTGGCTCTGCTGGAGTTTCTTCCTCTGAAAATAGAGTTTTTCCTCTCCACTGTCGCTAGAAGCATGCTTGGTCTGAGGGATTGCTGTCTAGTCTAGGAGTCGATGCGATCAGCTGGTTTACCTAAGATAGAAAACGGAACCCCGTTTTGCTTTAAAAGCTTCTGTTACACAGGGTTGGTACCAATATTAGATTTTTGCGCCCTCTATTTTTGCCACGTGCACTATATATGTCTAAATGTATATATTACCGGGTGTTGCCAATGTAATAAAATAAACTAGTATGCTATTAACAGTAAAAGAGTTACTGTATTTAGCAAATTATTTTTGATCTCTGTGGCACAAGAACAATGGCAAACAACAAATATAATAACAGGGATTAATCAAAAAAATAATAAAATGTATAGAAACAGGTATATTTAACTAAATTAAACATTACAACATAAAGCAAATAATTAAATTATCTATATAAAAATTTACCTGAAACCAGATTAAAATTATTTGAAATTGAAGAATTAGTCCTTAAAATTAGGTAAATATATAAAACTACATACAAATCTCTACTTGAAAGACATTTGATCTGTGTAAAGAGGAAGAAGTAACTCTGTTAGGACAAGACCAAACATATTGCAAGACCGTGTTTTCTCCTATTGGTGTAAATCGACTTTCAACCAATAATTCAGGGCTTATATTGGACTTAAACCATTTTACCTAAAGCAAACGGAAAAAAAATGAAAAAACTTCCGTCTCAAGTCCAAAATTTGAAAATATCTGTAAAAAATGAAATGAAATAAAGTTTAAAAAAAACTAAATTGAAAAAAATAAAACCTGAGAATACAGCACATCAACTTTCATTAACTTTTTTTTCCAAGTTTTTCAAAATTTCATTTCTGGATTGCGTTTCTCTCACATATTTGCAGGGTTAAAAAACATGTTTGTTTTTTTTGTTGTTTTTTTTTTGCACAAAGTTCACTCCATATATTTCAGTCTCTAGATGTCTGCTAAACTGGTACAAAAAAAGGAAATTTAATGATTCATACTTTTGTTTGTGAAACATGTATAATATTTTGTTCCCTTCTATACTTTGTGTCAATGAATTATAAATAAATAAATAAATTGCCCCCTATAATTTATTAAGCTTTTTTGTTTAAATGAATGTGTGCTCACCTCTGCAAGTGTCTGCAGCTGTACTTCATTACGATATTTTTTTCTCACCCTACAATTTACACCCTGTTCTTAACTTTCCAAAGGCCTCTCACACAGCGAGGAGGAACAAGAAGACTTACAGTGTTTCAGATGTGCATCTTATCCACAGAGCTCAGGGGTGTTTAGTTTGGCTTTACAGCTGGAGAGCTGTTCCTAGAATTAGAGGTTTCTCAGGTGGAAGTTTGGAAAACTAGCCTGGGGCTTAAGGGGCCAAAAGCTGCACAAAATCCTTTAGAGCCAGATCTGCGACAAATATGCAACGAGGCCCATTTGAAGGTGGCATGGAGCATCTATAGCATATAAATGAGGTAAAACAGCAAGAGTAATTAAGAGGAATGCATTGTCAAACTGTGTGCTTTTATTTGAGACTCAACAAGGGGGAAAAGATAGTGTCCCTAGATCTTGTTTAAAGAAGGGGGAGAGGGAGTGTGAGCCAGTGGGGTGGGGTCTGCATGCATGTGAAGGTAAAGTAGTTTTGGTGGCCAGCTGGAAGTGGTGACAGCTTCAAGTGCCAAGAATGCTGGAAGCTCAGGCTGATCTGTGGGACTGATACGTCTATCTGCAGGGCTCAGTTTGATCTGGCATCTTTCTTAAATCCAGAGTTTTCCATAACAGAACAGGCCTTAAAACAAACTAAAGAAAATAAAGTGGCTGTGTTTGCATTTTTAGTATATTAATCTTTTTTCTGTTGCCAGAAAAAAAAAAAAAGAAAAATAGAGTGATTCGTTCAGCCAAATGGAGTTTGGTCATGATATAAGCTCATGCAGTGGGCCGTCCAGCTCACCTGGTTGATGTGTTTTAGTTTGTCAATGATCTGGCTGATGACCGGCTCCGGCTGCTTGTTGCTCTTAGACTCTGAGGCTGAATGAAGCCGTTTCTGGCTGGGCCCAGCAAACCTGAAAGAAAAACAACACATTTTGCTAAAGCAGCAGAGTGACCATTGCTCCATCTTCCCAAATACGGTGTTTAACACCATCTAGTGTCGGTTAACTTAATGACAGGGCTGAGATGTTTTTCCCTGCAGGCAGGGCCGGCTGAAAAGTCCATTTGTAACTGAGCTCGGATTGAACGGATACCTCTTCCCTCAGTGGAACATTTTCCATAGTTAAAAACAGGATCAACAATTTTCCAGGATTTAATATTTGAAGCTAAAGGATGAAATCATCTGCAAACAAATGGGACTTTCTAAACAAAGTTAAACAGAAATCAGCAACAGCTTTCATGCATAATTGGCCTTAACTTTCTTATGAGTGGATTTACTCATGAAGTTTATGCACATATTTTGTAACAATAAAACAAAATCCTCAAAATGGTTTCAGTTATTATTTAAAGTTTTGTTAAGATTAATTTTGTTCATATTAAACTTTCACTTAAAGACGCTCTAATCATCTGTGTTAATGCACCAACCGTAGCACTGCTGCATTTCTGTGCTGCTGCAGCTTAGAGGGTATATTTAGCTCCCACCATGAAACAGGCGAGTGCCTACAAGTCTTCATGTGTACCTTAGGAAGTGGAGCTCTATTGACTGTTTTAAAGAGGAGAAGGAGGAGCTGCTCTGCCTAAAATGTGCGTCTGCTCACAGGACTTTCATGCTCAGACTTTCCTGTACATGTTTTCTCAGCTAGAGCAGGAGTAACCCATCCCTTCATGGCTCTAAAGACAACATTAACAACTGTTACAAGTTGGAGATCTAATTATGCACAACAGGAATTCATTACTGTGAAAGGAAAAAATAATAAAAATGAATAAAAGTAAAAAAACAAAATTTGATTTACAAATGGAACTTCAATTAAAATACATCAGAAACCCATAGTTGAAGCTTTATAGTAAACTAGAAAATTTCAAAAGAAATTTTGAGGGGGGCCACCTACTGCCCGTCTGGGTAAGTGGGCCAATACGGCCCTGGCAAGTGACATTGGGGCTCCCCAGACCAACTGCTTACGCCTTTGAGGGCTGCTGAGGGAAGGAAAGAGGGCTAGGTCATGGGCAAAGAGAGCTGTGTGCCACTTGTGCTGAAATCTGGGAAATAGACGTGCACAGCATATGATGCACAAGGGTAATATGGGTTGTCCATATTGAACCGCAGTGGGTAAAGCGCAGTTGGCGGGCTCTGCCCGCCTGCTAGGAGCCCTTGCAGCGATGAAAAAAATCACCAATGGCAGGCTCCGCCCGCCTGCTAAGAGCCATTGCAGTGATGAAATCACCATTGGCGGGCTTCGTCCGCCTTCTAAGAGCCATTGCAGTGATGAAATCACCAATGGCGGGCTCCGCCCGCATGCTCAGAGCCATTGCAGTGATGAAATTACAAATGGCTATGAGCAATATGCCAGAATGTATGAGTGTGTATAAGGAAGAGGCTTTTATTCTGTAGACTCCCTGTAGTCTTATTTTGACAGTCTATCATGGATGTGCATCAAAAGATGGGTCATGCCCAGCAGTGATATAGAATCCATTTCCACATGTTAAATCACTGGTTTTCCATGTTATTAGGTGAATAGTTGCTGTATTACAGAGTAAATGGGAGACTTTTATTGTGAAATTTGCTCTGGGG